TTGTGACCATTTGAAAGGTTATGCCTTTTCCAAAGTGTTGTGACCTTTCTGAAAGGTTGTCTTCTTTCCAAAGGGTTGTGACCTTTACCCTTTGTTGGCTATAAATAGAGAAGTTTTCTCTCATTTTTTTGTATCAAATTCTTCCCTTCTTTTGCATACATTTTTTACAAAACAAAATCGATCGATCGTGTCTGTGTGTGTGATTCGTTGCTGTCATTTTGAGTTCGTTGAAATTATCGAAGTTTGAGGTACCGCTACTTCTTTAATGGTTAATCCGTTTTATCTTGGGAGGAATTAATCTGCAACCTCGGGTACTTGAGGGGATTAAATTCTTAAGGACACACAGTGGGTTCTGTGGACTCGGATAGTTCTTTGTGTTTTTCTTTTCATCTTTTATTATTTCTGGTTTGCTAATCTGAATACAAGAGATAACAGCAACTAATTGCATTCAACTTAATAGTGACAGATTATCTCGTTAGGGTCATTAGAATAGGATCGAGATATTGCCAGTGTATTTTGTTTTACATGATTTTGAAGTCACCAATAGATATTACCGTGCAGGCCACAGGAGATGCCCTTTGATGTGAAGACTCATACTTCCACAAATATGACATAATTTTTTGTTCCACGAGTTAGTGGTAAGGTTAGCTTACATTCTACCCTTCTCATACCTCACTGATCGGATTTCACTGAATATGTTGTTAGCCTCCTCATCTTCTGAAGAGTCTGGAGGAGCTGAATGAATTTTCATGTGCGCTGTAGACAGATCTTTTGCCATTGTATTATTCAAGAAGTGAAATTGTTGGTGTGAGCCCAAATGCATGTGTCCAATCAAATACATGTATTGATAGTATATGGGCAAGTGTTTTTGCTTCTTGAGCGTCTCTTGCCTATTTTTATATTCATCGAATTGAATTATTTTGTTATAAGAATAATGATGTACACATTGGTTCATCTTTTTTTATGGGAGTTGTACATTTCTTAGAATTTCTTAACTAATAAGCATTGTGTTCATAAAAATTTAATTTGATTACTTTAGAGGTAATATACAAGTAAAGAAATCAACAAAACTCTACGCTAGAATATGAATGTTGCTTCTACAAAATAATAATTATTTTTAAAAAAAAAATCTTTAATTGAACACGTTGGACCGTGCAGAGCACGACTTCCCTCATCTAGTATATATTATAAGAGACAAAAATTAAAGACTAACACAAAATAGGAGCAAAAGTGCAAGTGACTGCCTTATTTAAATAGGTGGATTTACACATATAGCCCTTTTGAGGACCAACTCGAGTTTTAGTCATTGCAGAAATCGAAAAATCAAACCAAGTTGAATGTTGAATTAAAGAACCATTCTTTTTTTATTTGGTTTGATTTGTTTTTTATTTTTTAAAAGTGATAAAATTTGATTTGATTTACTTTTTAAAGAAAAAAAAGAAGCGGAAACATAGAATCAAACCAACTATATAAATATCGTGTGTGAGCTGTTTATATAAAATTTTAAGATACATATCAATCAGTTGCACTATTGATTCGTAGAGCTTGTCTTTATAGTACTTCAATCATTTGCCTAATTGCCTTTAATTTTTAGTTTGATTTATAAATTATATTTAGTAATGTTTAGAATATATTTCATGTTGAAAGGTAGTGTTATGTTACAAAAAAATCTAACTTAATTGATTTAATTGTGACATATTAAGACTGATTTTATTGATTCAATTTCCTTTTAATGGAAAATCGATCTAAATCGAATCATGAACACGCATAAGGAGGAGGAAAGGAGCTCTTATTGAAAGGTCCATGATGTCACGCCCCGAGCCTACCCCCGGACGTGGCTGGCACTTAAGAACCATTGCCGGCCCCAAGCGAACCCTTGGCCTGGCTTATTTACTCAACGGAAGACTGTACTCAATATAAATACTTTTAAAACAAGTAAACTGAACTGCTCAAAATATAACTTAGAATGTAATAAATAACATTCACTGCCAAAGTGAAAACTCAAGTCTCAACTTAACTGGAAAAAAAAGTAATGACTCATGAACTAACATCAACTAACTCTGTCTATGAAGCCTCTAAACTCTGAGGGATGTCGGGACAAGACCTCCGATCATCCTAACAACTCAAATAAGCAAGCAATAAACAAAACATAACCAAAGGGATCCTCCGAAAAGAAAAGAGGCTCACCAACTGACTCTTAGTGCTCAACTGGATCAACAATGCGCTAGATGCTGATCCTGATTACCTGTGTCTGCATCATAATAAGATGCACGCCAAATGGCATCAGTACATTGAATGTACGAGTATGCGAGGGGAAATATAAAATAAGACAAAAGCTTGAAAGATACTAAAGAACTTACCTGGCTCAACTCAACTCAACTGATTTCAATATAAAGTAGTGTAATTAAATGCAATATAAAGAAAAGCTTTAAAACATGGTATTCAACTCTGTGTATTTAGAAATACAATAATAACTATGTATCTATGCAAAGATACAATATGAACTCTATTTGAATATGAAAATACAAATATTTCTGATGTATATAAAAACACAAAATACTGTTGTGGGAGTTTCTCTAACCGACAACCATCACTTAAGAGTTATCATGATGATAAAGCGTTTTGCCTCACGCTGCCAGGGCCGTCCTATACCTTGTCGGGGGTATAGAACCTGAACTACTAAGTGGATCCACTAGTCTATGCTAAAAAGCACTAAGGAATCATCTAAAAGTATGACCATTTTCTACACATGATGACTACATGGTTTATGGCGGCTCGGAGTTCTCTAAACTATCATCCATATCGGTGATCAATACTACTCCCAAAATATGATACTAGCTCTTTATGTTTTAAAAAACATAACTTATTTCTGTGGTTTGAGATAATTGCTCAAAACTTAGCTAAAAGGCTATCTTAGAAATCTCAGTTTCCCTTCTTACTTAATTGTAAAAGCATTTACTCTTTACTGAAAACTAGCTCAAACGCTTTTTTGGAAATCAAAGTTTCCTTTCTTGCTAAAATATGAAAACATTTACTCTTTAACTGAAAAACTAGCTCAAAGGCTCTTTACTGAAAAACTAGCTTAAAGGCTCTTTTGAAAATCTCAGTTTTCGTTTTTATTTAAATGTGAAAATATTTTAAACTCTTTTGGGAATACATAGTCCCCATATACTTTGAAGGAATGAACTTTAACTTTACTCTTTACTGAACTCAAAACTCATGTCTTAAAACAAAGTTAAATCATTTGTAAAAGACTTTTGGAAGACTCTATGAACTTCTCTTGACTTGGCTCTTTACCTTTCTTGACTTGACTCTTAACTTCTCTTGGCTTTCTTCTTAACTTTCCTTGAATTGAATTATAGATTCAAGGATTGTAATTTATGATAGGAAAGATTTCATGATGTTTAGGAGTGTTTTTAGATAGCTAAACATGAGAAAATATCAAGAATTCACTATTTGAGGATGGGTCCGTGACGCGGAGATGTATTTAAATTTTGATCGCGAAAATACTTTTTGAGGCAGAACGGTCCGTGATCGCTATGCGATGCGAGGAAGAATTTTGCGAAACTGTGGGGCAGGTCCACGACGCGGCCTTGGGCTCCAGATTTGCCCAACATTTTTCTTCTTCGTTTTCTATCACCTAATTTCGATTTTTTTCCTCCATATCTCTTTAGATTCAGGTACCCACAACATATACAAAAGAATCCAACTCAAAGCAACTCTAATAATCAATCTTAAACTCTCAAGAACTCCTCAATCTCATCCCAAATTCAAGAATGAAAGCAATTCAAGAATACAACTCAAGAACATCAAATTCTCAATCTTTTTATGAGGAAATTACGCTGAATAAAACATGTTTGGCGCGTGGGTGAATGAACCCAATGTTGTGTGAACTCACATACCTCGTAGGGATCACCCCTTGACGAAATACACGAGCCTAGCTTCAAGAACTTCACGATTCCTTGCTTTTTCTCCTCTTTTCTCCTCTTCTTTTCTCTTCTCTCAAAACCCTAACTTGTTTCTCAAAAGCGTAAACTGAATCAATCAGTTTAGACCCCAACTTAATTACCAAAAATGAAATTAATTAATTAGGTGGTGAAAAGACCATAATTCCCATTTAAAATCCGGATTGGACTTTCCTTATTTGAACAACCCAACTTCCAATGGGAATAACTCACTCATACGAACTCAGAATCGCGCAAACTCGGCGGTGTTGTAAATATTATTCCAAGATCTTTCCTACGATGTCTGGAAAAACACCTAACTCATCCTGAGCTAAGAGTTATGATCGTTTGAAGTTCACCAAAAACTCAAACTTAACCAATTTTCCAGATTTTTTATTATTTCCAAAAAAACACTCTTTCTAATTCTAGCTCTTTCTAGTTCTTTCAATTCGCTAGATGTTACAATATCTGCCCCTTGGGAACATTCGTCCTCGAATGAGATTACTCTTAGTAGGTTAAGGGCGTAACATCAAACATGCAGTTCAAACACCCAACAAGCATAATGCAATTACAACATGCCAACTTATAAATGAATACCAAGAAAAGGATTAGTAACTTGATCTGTAACTTCTCCGGATTCGAAGAGATGTGGATATCTCTTCTTCATATCTTCCTACACTTTCCAAGTAGCTCCCTCAACTAATTGGTTCCTCCAA